TCTATTCTATTCTATTCTATTCTATTCTATTCTATTCTATTCTATTCCCTACTCTACTCTACTCTACTCTACTCTGCTCTGCTCTGCTCTGCTCTACTCTACTCTATTCTATTCTACTCTACTCTATTCTATTCCCTACTCTACTCTACTCTACTCTACTCTACTCTACTCTACTCTATTCTACCTCTACTCTATTCTACTCTACCCTACTTGAAGTCCTCACCTCTTAAAAGTTGCCAGAGTTGAGAAATACAGGTTTTCTTTGATTTAACAACCTTTTAGTGACCATTCAAAGTCACAACGGCACTGAAAGAGTGACTTATGTCCATTTTTCATGCTTATGACCATTACAGCATCCCCCTGCCTCATGTGATCCAAATTTAGGTGCTGACTCATATTTATGACGGCTGCAGTGTCCTGGGGTCACCTTTGCAACCTTCTGACCAGCAAATGGGGAAGCCAGATTCACAACTGGGTTACAAACTTAACCACTGCAGTGATTCACTTACTTAACATTTATTTTATATATGTGTGTGTATATACATATATAAATATGTGTGTGTATCAGAGGTGGGTATTCAGCAGGTTCTGATCAATTCTGGAGAACCTGTAGTGGAAATTTTGAGTAGTTTGGAAAACCAGCAAATGCCACCTCTGACTGGAGATTTTACAGTACCCTTCCCCTGTCACGCCCACCAAGCCACGCCCACCAAGCCATGCCCATCAGGCCATGCCCACAGAACCGATAGTAAAAAAATTTGAATCCCACCAATCACACACACACACACACACATTCTTGTAAGCTGCCTTGAGTCACCATGTGCGAATTAGGCAGCAATATAAATTTCCTAAAATAAATTAAATAAACAAAGAGTGGCAAGAAAAGGGGGGAAAATGTGGCAAAACTCACTCAATGAATGTCCCGCTCAGCAACAGAAATGTTGGGCTCCATTGTGGTCACAAGGACCACCTGCTGCTTTAGGCTTAAGACGGGAGACAAGAAGGTGGCTCTGTTAGACACCTGGGGGAAAAAGGTAGCTGTGGCACGTCAGGTGTGAGTCAGGTTGGTGAGCTATGGCAGATTCTCTTGGCCCTCTCTAAGCCCTGCGCTTGTTGCGGAGCAGAATGAAACAGTGAGGCAGCCCCCAAGGGGACAAATGAACCCCCTCCCTCTGTGCCTGGTCGCTTAATCCACCTGCTGCCAGGGGTGGGTAGCTATCTCTCTCTCTCTCTCCTGTTTCTCACTCCTCTTGATCCATCTCAGGACAAGCCGAGAGCAGCAGCGACACCCACAGGGTTGTGGGTTGTGAGGGTTGTGGGTCCGAGGGTTGTGACTCCCCGCCCCTTTGCTCCCTACACATTTGCACCTTTGAATTATCCATCTCTCTCTCTCTCTCTCTCTCTCTCACACACACACACACACACACACACACACACAGACACAAAGCCTTTTCTGACTTTGCTACAGTTGCAGCCTGTCCTCCTCCTCCTCCTCCTCCCCCCCCCAAATCTGGAAAGAAAGAAAGAAAGAAAGAAAGAAAGAAGAGCGAGAGAAGAAGAAGATGCAAAGAAGGGGAGACGTGGCCAGCGATTAGAGGCGGTGGAAAGAACCAGAGCAAAGAGGTGGAGCCGAAGGGCGCCCGAGCAATGGGGCTGGCAAGAATTGGCCGCCAGGGGGCAGCGCAGAGCCTGGGTTTCGGATTGAAGCGGGCAGGTTGGTTCGACTTTTCGCCTTAGCATTCGGTCCGGCGCTCATCCTGGACAGGACAGCGAGAAGTCGGGACGACTTTCTGCAGCCGCCTGGGGCTGAAGGTGGACGACCTGGGCCCCGGGGAGCAGGAAGCGCCTCCTACGTTTCCAGCAAGAAGAGCATCCCGCGGCAAGGCGGGACGGGCGGAACCCTTTAGGAGAAAGTTTGCGGCAGAAGTCCACCTCGTCGAGTTGTCCAGCACCGCCGCGCAGGTGCATTTCTCTCCATCCCCCCATTTCCCTGGGAAAGCAAAGCAGGTGCGGCTTCCGCGTTGTCTGCGGGACTCTCTCTACTAGACCCGGGACGGGCTGATTTGGGGAGCCAACCCCGGCATGGAGCGGCGCTGGCGAGCCAAGCGCGCTTGAAGCCCTTGGGATCCAGCAACTTTCTTCCACGTGAAACGCGATCCAAGTGGAGGCTGCCCGCCTGCCCGCCCAGCCGGAGCACCTCTCCCCTCCTCTTCTCCCCCTCACCAGGGAGTAAGCAACCCCCCCCCACACCCCGTTGGTTCCGAGGATGTGACGGACCGAAGGGTTTCGATGTTCAGGGGGCAGAGGCTGCGCCGCGCCCGTCCCGTCCCGCTTTAGGTCTAGGCAGGTGTGCGCGCGATCCGCCGCCTTTCGCGAAACTTTCCGGGAAGATGAAAGCCAAGGGAGTGAGCAGGGAACCCTCGGCCGCCTCCACCTCTTCCACCCAGGATGGGTCAGTCCTGCTGGTCCCTCCTCACCCGTCGGATCGGGATCCTTTTGCTGGGAGGGATAGGGTCGAGGCCATCGATCTGACCCTGGACGGGCTCCTGTACGCCAGAAGCAGCGAAGACGAGGAGGACGAGGAAGACGAGGAGGAGGAGGAGGAAGAAGACCAGGAAGAGGAAGGCAACCCCCGTCTCAAGGAGCGAGAGGGTCTCTCGGGCTCCTCCTTGGTCCAGGAAAGTTCCGGCTTGCCGTTGGGCAAAGATGCCCTGGATCGGGTCCTAGATACTTTTCTGACTTCGGCTGCCAGCCACTCGGAGAGCCCTTCGGCGGCGTGGTCGTCTTTCTTCGGCTCGGAGATCCCCGACTTGGCCGCTGGGCTCCCCACCCGCCGGTCCCTCGACGGCAAAGAAGAGGGCGCGCCCGCCGCCGCTGCTTCCCTGCCGCCTCCGCCTCTTTCTCCCGCGGCCACCGCCTCTCCTTCCCTTTGGAAGGCGGCTAAAGATGCGGAGGGAGCTCCTTTGAGGAGCCCGAGGGGCAGGGCCGCAGCCTCGACGTTGCCTAAAGGAGCGCAGCAGCCCTGCTCGGCGGAGGAGGAAGGAGACCTGGTCCCCGGGGCTGGCCACGCGGTAGAGCCTTCCTCCTCCTCCTTCTCCTCTTGCAAGCTCCTGGTGGCTTCGGCCTCGGGGCGCTCCCCTTTGACCGCCCCCTCGGGCTGCCCCGAGTTCCTCAACGTGCCCATCCTGCCTCTCAACCCGGCTTACTTAGCCGCCCGGACGCGGCAGCTGCTGGACGTGGAAGAGTGCCAGCAGGACTGGAGCTCCTTCTGCGGGCACGCCGCTTCCTCGCCCGCCTCCTGCAGCCTCCAGGACTTCTCCAGCTTCGTCTACCCGCCCAAAGAGGGACAGCCGCCGCCGCTTCCACCCCCGCCGCCGCCGCCGCTTTACCTCTTGGGCTCCGGCGGGGACTTTCAGCCCAGCTTCAAGATCAAAGAAGAGAGCCTCGCGGCGGCCGTGGCCAAAACCAGCAGCGACGGCGGAGCGCACTTGGGCCCCGGGACTCTGCCGGCCGCCGCGGGGCCCTGCCCGGACTACGCTCCGCCGATCGCCGCCTCTTCGCTGCCGAAGAATAGCATGAGCAGCCTGGAAGCCGTCGCCGCCCCGTCGTCCACCCTGGAGTGCGTCCTCTACAAGGCGGAGGTGGCTGCGGCCACGGCCGGCGCCCTGCCGGGCACTTACGCACCGGCGCCTTACAAAGCCTCCGCCGGCTCCATAGCGCAGAGGGAAGCTCTCTCTTTGCCCTCTACCTCGGCCGCCCCGCCTCAAGCCCTCTACCAGCCGCTCGGCTTCCACGGCCAGCAGCCCTTTTATTCGCCTTACCTGGCCTATATACGGTAAGTGGCTTCTTCACCCACCCTGGCTCAAGGAGGCTTCCCTGAATTGTCATATGATCCAATCCTGCTTTCCACCCCGCTCCCTCCATGGTGCCTTGTCAGTTCGGCAGGCGCTGGCCAGGTTGCCATCTGTCAGAAATGGTGTAGGGTCTCCCACTTTGGGGGGTTGGACGAGAGGGCCCCTTCCAACTCTGATGATCTGTTATCTCCATAAGTGATGGAGAACCATAAACAAAGAATATTTAGAGGGATCATTCTGCCTTTTGTGAAGCCACCTGCCCCAGGAGGCGCATTAAAAAGCCCAGTGGAAATTTCTTTTAATTCGATGTGGAAAAGATAGTAATGAGACTCCTCAAAAACTATAATTAACAGAATAACAGAGTTGGAAGGGAACTTGGAGGTCTTCTAGTCCAACCCTCTGCTTAGGCAGGAAACCCTATATCATTTTAAACAAATGACTGTCCAGTCTCTTCTTAGAAGCCTCTAGTGTTGGACCATCCACAACTTCTAGAGGCAAGTTAATCTTAATTATAGAATAACAGAGTTGGAGGTCTTCTAGTCCAACCCCATGCTTAGGCAGGAAACCCTACACCACTTCAGACAAATGGTTATCCAATCTCTTCTTAAAAACTTCCAGTGTTGGAGCATTCACAACTTCTGGAGGCAAGTTGTTCCACTGATTAATTGTTCTAACAGTCATTAAATTTCTCCTTAGTTCTAGGTTGCTTCTCTCCTTGATTAGTTTCCACCTGTTGCTTCTTGTCCTGCCCTCCGGTGCTTTGGAGAATATTGGGAAATCTTGGATCTGGATTTATTCACTCCTCTGCCCCTTGTCCCTTTTCAAGTCTTACAGCTACTGTAAGTCAGTTTTCCCTACAGCTGGGAAGAATATGGATCTATCAGGGTAGTCTCTAAGAGTTGAAAATGACTTAAGGGTACATCACTGTTATTAATCGGAAATAATAGATAGGCAAATTGTGTGTGCAGCATGCTTTGCAATGTGCGAAGAGACAGTTCAAAAAAATTTTTTTTTTGGCAAATCTGCAAAAAAAAAAAAAAAGAAAAGAAAAAAAAAGCCAGGGGAACTTTCACCGCTGCATGGCTGTGTGCACACACATTGCGACACTCCAATATCATAATAGTTTAAAAATAGCTTTTTAAAAATAATAATAATCAGTGGCTAGTTTTTCAACCTGGTCAGCTTGCCTTTTGGTAGGCATTTATTTCCACAGGGTGTCCTTGGCAAAAATTACACTCGCTACTTTTAGAGGTTTATCAACTTCCCAGCCCAGCCTTCATCTTTTCCTCGTGGTGTCCCATCGTTAGGCTAATGAGATCTAACTGTGCTTAGCTCATTTATTTATTTTATTCATTAGAGTTGCATCCCACCTTCGTTACTTTGTAGGTAACTCAAGGTAGCAAACATGCCTAATACTCCTTCCTATTTGCCCCATGACAACAACCCTGTGAGGTGGGATGGGCTGAGAGAGAGTGACTGGCCCAAAGTCTCTCAGATGGCTTTCGTGCCTAAGGTGGGACTAGAACTCACAATCTCCTGTTTTCTAGTGCAACCCAATCAATCAAAGAAAATCAATCAAAGAAAATCAGACAGGATCTGCTCAATGCTGCCATCTGCTGTGACTGCATGGCATTCTCCTGTTAGACTGTTGTAATTTTTACTAGAATGTCTTCTCTCCCAATTCATGTTCCTTACATGGCTTTCCATTCATGTTGGACTACAAATCCCATCTCCCTCATTCTGGGAAATTAGAGAAGTTGTCATCTGTCACTCCTTGAAAGGTTGGTGGAGAAGGTTGATAAAATATTAAAGCTGTTCAGTGGAGCAGGACGAGTTGATAGCTATGAACCATTATTAAAGTATGGGGCATACTTTGGATTTTTCCACTTCGGTGTATTCCAAGTGGCCTTTCCCCCATTTCTCAGGTATTCTCAGACATTTAGTCCCAACTTATCTGGAGAGCTTCAGGTTGAAGAAAGGGGCTGCCACAAAGATGAGGGGATCAACCTATTTTTCCAAAGCACCAGAAGGCAAGAGAAGAACCAATGGATGGAAAACTATTCAAGGAGAGAAGCAACCTAGAACTAAGGAGAAGTTCCTAACAGTGAGAACAAATAGTGGCTTGCCTTCAGAAATCTTGCGTACTCCATCACTGGAGGCTTCCAAGAAGAGACTGGACAGCCACTTAGCTGGAATGGTATAGGGTCTCCTGATTGAGCTGGGGGTTGGACTAGATGACCTCCAAGATCCCTTCCAACTCCCTTAGTCCAGGGGTGGGCAACTATGGCCCTTTTATGAATTATGGACTTCAACTCCCAGAATTCCTGAGCAAGCATGGCTTGCTCAGGAAT